TAGCCAAGTTTAAATTGTTGTATCATATTTTTTCTCATAGTTTCTGGCTTCATGTTATAGTTTAGAAATTTCTTTCCCATCCTAAGATTATATAAATGCATATCTATTAATCCCTCTAATGCTTTTTACTGATAGTGAGCCAGGTTTAAGCGATCACTTCGGGCAGAGATTATCCTTTTTCTATCAGTTTAAAATACTACCTATATCGTATGTTAAATTCTTACCAATGTTAAAATTTACTTGTTAAATTCTATTTCTTCTTTTGACATGTCTATTTTTACAAGAATAAGGAATTGTTAATGTTTATATTATTTTTTAAAGTCTGAATCTCCAAGTCTTTTTAATTATTAATCTTTTTTCAAAATTTTCTTGGTCATTAATATTGATTTACTCTTTCAACTCAAGGAAGATCACTTTGGATATGGAACATAGCCAGTTGTTGTTATCTGCTATGAATCTATTAGTGAGCTATAACACACTGAATGTATCAACAAACATATGAAATATACTTTTGTTGTATTTGGGAATTGAAACAGTTGCTTTGACTCTTTCTCGACATCATGCTCATCATAGCTTGATGTGGTTATCTGTTGACTCAAGTGTACATGAACTGAAGCAAACTAAACAGAAGATCATTTCTGTGATTTGTGTCTTTATGACTTCAGGTGGTTTGATTTGTCTGGATGCTAGGTCTGAATCTACACCTGCCCAGAAGTAATGATGCCTAGCTGTCTACAGAGCTGATGATGTCTCAGGAATTTCCCCAAGTTAACCCATAAATTCTAGCACCCCTGGCATTCCTTTTTACAGGTACAGCTGTCATTCATAGTTATCTGTAAGTAATCAATGATAGTAATAGCCAACATCTATTGAACAATTAATGTGTCCTGGATTGTGTGCTGAGCAGTGTCATGAATTTCCTCATAAAACCCTCCCATTAACCTTACAGTTAAGGGGCTCTTGTCCTCACTTTGTTATGAGTAAATCATTTCTAGTGTGTTAAAACCACCAGGGTAAGTTCAGAGCATGAGAGAGTATCAAAACTAAAATTATTTTTTTCCATTTGTATTGATATACGGTTGATATACAACATTGTATAAGTTCAAGGTGTACAACATAATTTACTATATATATATATATAATAAAATGATTACCACAGTAAGATTAATCTTCATCACCTCACATAATTACAGTATTCTTCCTTGTGATGAGAACTTTGAGATCTAGTCTCTTAGCAACTTTTAAATATATGATACAGTATTGTTAACTATACTCATCATGCTGTACATTATATTCACAGATCTTATTTACCTTATAACTGAAAGTTTTACTTTCTGACCACCTTCACCAATTCCCTACCTTCCACTCCTTGCCTCTGGCAACCACAAATCTGATCTTTGTTTCTATGAGTTTGTTTCGTTTTAGATTCCACATACAGTGAGACCATAATGTGCTTGCCTTTCTCTGTCTGATTGATCTTACTTAGCATAATATCCTGATGGTCTATCCATATTGTCACAAATTCCAGGATATCCTTCTTTTTTATGCCTGAACAATATTCCTTTATGATACATCCTATTATTTATGTTATTTATACATGTGTTATTTATATTTATAAATATATAATTTGACTTTTTATCCATTTATCTGTTGGTGGTTGCTTAGATTGTTTCAATACTCTGGCTATAATAAATAATCCTGCAATGAACATTGGGATACAGGTTTGTTTTAGGGGCAGTGATACCATTTCCTTTGTATATATATATATCTCCAAGATATGGAATTGCTGGATCATATGGTAGGTCTATTTTTAATTTTTTGAAAAACTCTATACTGTTTTCCATAGTCACTATCCCAATTTAAATTCTCATAGCAGTGCACGTTTCCCTTTTCTCCACATTCTGGCCAGGAGTTGTTGTCTCCTTTTTGATTATAGCCATTCTAACAGTTGTGAGTTGGTATCTTACTGCGATTTTGATTTGAATTCCCTGATGATTATGATGTTGAGCACATATTTATGTACCTGTTGGCATTTTATATGTCTTCTTTGGAAAAATATCTATTCAGGTCCTATGAAAAATTTGAATTGGATTATTTATTTTTCTTGCTACGGAGTTGTATGTGTTCCTATATATTTTAGATATTAACTCCTTATCAGAGATGTGATGTGCTAATATTTTCTGCTATTCTGTTGGTTACCTTTTCATTTTGCTTATCATTTTCTTTGCTGTGCAGAAGCCTGTTAGTTTGATATAATCCATCTTATGTATTTATTTATTTAATTATTAATTTCGCTTGTGCTTTAGGTGTGATATCCAAAACATCATTTCCAATCCATGTTCAGAAGTTTTTTCCCTATGTTTTCCTCAAGGAGTCTTATGATTACAGGTCTTACACTTAAGTCTTCATTCTTTTGAGTTTTTTTTTGTGAGTGATGTAAGATCAGGGTCTAGTTTCATTCTTTTGCATGTGAATATCCAATTTTCCCATCATCATTTATTGAAGAAACTGTTTTTTTCCATTGAGTATTTTAGGCTCTCTTGTCAAATGTTAGTTGACCATATATACACAGTTTTATTTCTGGGGTCTTGATCCTGTTCCATTGGTCTTTGTGTCTGTTTCTATGCCAGTGGCATACTGTTTTTATTTCTATGGCTTTGTAACATAGTTTGAAACATTTGCCAGCTTTATTCTTCTTTCTCAGGATTGCTTTGTCTATACGAAGTCTTTTGTGGTTCTACAGGGATTTTAGGATTGTTTGTTCTATTTCTGTGAAAAATGCCATTGGAATTTTGATAGAGATTGCATTGAGTCTATTGGCAGATTTGTGTAGCATAGACTTTTTAATAATATTAATTCTTCCAATCCATGTACATGGGATACCTTTCAATTTACTTGTACTTTTTCAATTTCTTTGGTCAGTGACTTATAGTATTCAGTGAAGAGATCTTTCACCTTCCTGTTTAATTTTTTTCTACACATCTTATTGTTTTTGATGCTATTGTAAATGGGATTGGTTCTTTATGTCTTTTTCAGACAATTTGTGTTAGTATATAGAATGCTTATTTTGTATCCCAGGACTTTAGTGAATTATTTGATTAGATCTAACAGTTTTTAGTGAAGATTTTAGGATTTTCTATACGTAAAATCATGTCATCTGCAAATAGACACAATTTCAATCTTTTATTTCCATTTATGAGGCTTTATTATTATTATTATTGACTTTATTGTGTTGCTAGGACTTATTGTCGTGTTTTAGGAATAAAGAGAATGGCCATCTTTGTCTTCTTCCTGGTCTTAGAAAAAAATCTTACAACCATTTACCATTGAGTATGATGTTAGATGTCACTTTGTTAAATATGGCCTTTATTAAGTTCGATTTAGTTCCTTTTATACCTAATTTATTGAGAATTTTTATCAGGAATGTATGTTGAATTTTGTCAAATGCTTTTTGTGCATCTATGGAGAATTATATGATTTTTATATTTCATTTTATTAACGTGACTATCACTTTTGTTAATTTTTGTATACTAAACCATCTGTGCATCCTCAGAATGAATCCTACTTGATAGTGGAGTATGATCCTTTTAGTATGCTGCTGAATTCTGTTTGTTAGGATTTTTTTTTGAAAATTTAGAATCTGTATTCAACAGGTCAGGGACATTGACCTGCAGTTTTCTTTTCTTCTAATGTCCTTATCTGGCTTTGGTATCAGTGCTGGCAGGGGGAGGGACCATGGAGTCAGAGTGTAGCTGTTCCTCTAACTTTCTAACAGGATTCTTCTCATTCTCTGTGGCCCATGGGGATATTTCAGCCTCATCCCCGTGTTCTAGGATTTTCAAAATGATGTGTTGTTACGAGTAGTTGCTAGTTTTTTCTGGCAAGAGTGACAAAGTGCATGACCTATTTTGCCATCTTGATGACGTCATTCAGAATAAAAACTCTAAAGTCTGAACCCTTAACCACAGTACTATGCTGTTTCCTAAGATGCAAAATATCCTACAATTGATACAGTAGTTGGGGCTAATATTTGTACCAGCCTCCCTTAGGAATAGTTCATATGAAGACTTCCCTAAGAAGACTTACTTCATAACTTTATTGGGCATACATGCTATCCCCAAGAAAATATCAGGATTATAAATTATGATATAATTTTCCAGGCCATGTTGAAGGTGTTGTATTAAATATATTTGTAAAAAGTTTGAGAAGTTATTATAAACAGGGTAATTTTTCTTATGTGTAAAAGAAGAAAATTTTAAAAATCTACCTGGATGAGATCTTGGAGAGAAGAGCTATTTCAAGTTTATTCTGGAATGATGCCAGTTTTACCTCACTATTATTAAGCAGCAGTTATGTATTGAATTTTCAAAATTCCTATAAAATCTTACAGTTTTACAATGATCTCTCTCATATAATTATAGAGTTTCTATTGCTTTTTAGAAAATTTTTAAAATATTTAATATTTCATCTCCACATACCCATGTACTTCTTCCTCCATAATGTGTCGTTCATTGATATCTGCTACGTGACCTCCACAGCCCCAAGATACTCTCCAACTTCTTCCAGGAGTAGCAAACTATCACCCTTGTGGGTTGTGCTGTTCAATACTTCACCCTTCCAAACGTGGGACTGAGTGAGTCTTGTCTCATGACAGCCATGGTTTATGATTGATATGCTGCCATTTGTAACCCACTTCTCTATTCATCCATCATGTCACCCACTCTGTGTGTTCAGATGGTTCTGGGGTCCTATATTAAATATTTAATTTAATAAATATTTAATATTTTTAAAATATGTCTTTTAATTTTTCTGAGACCTCATCAGGTAATTGGGAACCTGAAACACTGAGAAGGTCCTATTTGGACTTAGATGGAAACTGTAGTCTTTCTTCTAGGACGGTAAAGCGTTTTCCATTTTTCAGTGCTCAGTGAAGGGAAGAAAATGGCAGATGTGAGAATTATAATGTTTCATTTCACGTGAGTCAGTAATGCATTCTTTTGACTCTTTTCTCATTTTAGGAGCACCAAGCCAATGACTCAAGGAGGAAATATTACAGCTATCACCCATTTCCTCCTCTTGGGATTCTCAGATTTCCCCGGAATCAGAGCAGTGCTCTTCGTTGTATTCCTGTTGGTGTACATTATGACTCTGATTTGGAACCTGTGTCTCATCATCTTAATAAGGATGGATTTCCATCTCCACACACCCATGTACTTCTTCCTCCATAATCTGTCCTTCATTGATATCTGCTACGTGACCTCCACAGTCCCCAAGATGCTCTCCAACTTTTTCCAGGAGCAGCAAACCATCACCCTTGTGGGTTGTGCTGTTCAATACTTCATCTTTTCAACCATGGGACTGAGTGAGTCTTGTCTCATGACAGCCATGGCTTATGATCGATATGCTGCCATTTGTAACCCACTTCTCTATTCATCCATCATGTCACCCACTCTGTGTGTTCAAATGGTGCTTGGGTCCTATATGGCAGGATTCTCTGGTTCTATATCCCAATTGTGTGCCATGCTTCAGCTCCAATTCTGTGGGCCTAATGTCATCAACCACTTCTTCTGTGACATGCCCCAACTGTTAGTCCTGTCCTGCACTGACACTTTCTTTGTACAACTCATGACTGCGGTATTAATAGTGATCTTTGGGATAATAAATGTCTCAATTATCATGATATCTTATGGCTGTATTGTCATCTCCATTATGAAGATCACTTCAGCTAAAGGCAGGTCCAAGGCTTTCAGCACCTGTGCTTCTCACCTGACAGCAGTGACCCTCTTCTATTCCTCAAGTATCTTTGTCTACTTGAGTTCCAGCTCTGGCGGTTCCTCCAGCTTTGACAGATTTGCATCAGTCTTCTACACTGTGGTGATTCCCATGTTGAATCCCTTGATTTATAGTCTGAGGAACAAAGAAATCAAAGACGCCTTGAAGAGGTTGCAAAAGAAGGGAAAGTATTGCTGAGGTCACAGATTATGAGATTTTTGACATATTTATCCTATCAGAATCACCTTAACCCAGAATAATATGCACAAGAATGCACTATAACAAAATTCATACTGCCTTTGGAAAAAGAAGACTTAATTTGACACAAATAATATGCCAAAATGGACCAATAGGTGACTCAATGCCATGCAAACACAATATCTTTAAGTCCTAGAGGTTCATGAACATCAGCTTACATGAGGAGTAGATTGATCATTTATTTATATATCAATCTTTCCATCATTTATGAAACATCAGGTTTAAAAACTTGTTGCTTCCTTTAGTTTCTGAGATTGAACCCTGCCCAATTGCAGGACTCTGACATGAAAGGAAAGGTAACAGACAGAGGTCCTCTTGGATATAGAAACTTTGTCACTCAAATATTTTGATGCAGCAGCATGACTAAGACACAGAAGTGACCAATGTTTGTTTTGTGTTTCTGACCAGAATAGGAAGGAACAAAGAGAAAGGATGTGACTTTGGACAGAAACAATCCTGTGCAATTGGTCTGGTTGTGCCTACTGCAAAGACCAATCTTACCTAGCTAGTGTTTGTCTAAGGCCTCTTTCAATGCTAATCATCTAATAAATTTTTGATTACATCCTAGTCTATACCACCTATAGTCTAAGGAAGGAGGAGGTGATTTGAATCATAAAAGGAATGGAAGGAAGTATCTTGTCCCTTCAATGCCATTTATTTATGAATCTGATGAGTTAATTTTTTGCACATAGTGTCCAGTGGGGATTTCTGATGGGAGATGATATTCAAAATCCATGTCACAGCCAATAGCAATTTCTGATATTGTGGGACTCAACTCTCCCTTTTTCTCCCCCATCCAATCTGGAAAATTTACCCTTGGTTCACATAGCCAATGGGATCACACTACCAAATCATTTTTCATATCTCAAACATCTGAAACTATTTGGTGTGAGAATACATGTGACAGCTCATCATAATAACAGAATTACTGAATATTCAGTATTGCAAAGACAAAGAGCAAATATGGAAAATTGATATACTTTCTTTCCTATCATTTTGTTCAACATTTTATGTCTTAGAGATTTATGGTTTTTTGGGGTGATATTATAGATGAAGTAGAATGGTTTGTGTTACTCTAATGCTGATATTTCCAGCAGACTTCAAGGGCCAGGAAAGGAGATAGATGGTGGTACAAGCAAGGTTCTCAACTCTGAACAGTTTTTGCTGTGTGAAGTAGGAGAGAAAGTTGTGGTCAGGTTAAAAAAAAGATGTGTAGCAACACTGAATGTTGACTTTCGAGATTGCTCTGACTTGAACAAACTGGTACAAAACATGTCATTACATTTACATATTATTCTTAGAGTTTCATTGAATTCTTATTTTTGGCTTGTTATTATTTTTTTTTTGAGGTAATGCTGATTTAGAACATTATATCAATTTCAGGTATACATCATTACATTTCAAATTATATGTAGACTACATCATGTTCACCCCCCAAAGAATAGTTACCATTTGTCATTGTACTCATGTGCCCTTTTACTCTTTTCACCCTTGCCCCACAACCCATCCCCTTTGGTAACAGCTGATCTAATCTGTATTTCCCTGTGTTTGTTTATTGTTGTTACTGCTTGTATCTTCCACTTATGAGTGAAATCTTACGATATTTGACTTTCTCTGTCTGACTTTTTGCTTACATAATATAGTCAAGGTCCATCCATCTTGTCGCAAATGGTAAAATTTCATCTTCTTTAATAGCTGAGTAGTGTTCCATTGTGTATATATGCTGCATCTTCTTTATCCATTCATCCACTGATGGGCACTTAGGTTGCTTCTGTCTTGGCTTTTGTGTATAATGCTGCAATGAACATATGGGTGCATATATCTTTTTGAATTAGTGTTCTTATGTTCTTTGGATACATACCCGGGATTGGACTAGTTGGATCATATGGTATTTCTATTTTTAATTATTTGAGAAGTCTCTATACTGTTTTCCATAATGGCTGTACCAGTTTGCATTTCCACTCGCAATGTATGAGGTTCCCTTTTCTCCACATCCTCTCCAACATTTGTTATTTTTGTCTTGGTAATTATAGATAGTGTGACAGGAGTAAGGTGATATCTTACTGTAGTTTTGATTTGCATTTCCCTTATGATTAGTGATATTGAACATCATTTCATATACCTGTTGGTCATCCATATATCCTCTTTGAAAAAAATGTCCGTTCATATCCTCTGCACATTATTTGATTAGCTTGTTTGTATTTTTGTTGTTGAGTTGTATGCATTCTTTTATATATTTTGCATATTACCCTCTTGTCTCATACATGATTTGCAAATATTGTATCCAAGTTGGTGAGTTGTATGTGTTCTTTTGCATATTTTGCAGATTACCCCTTGTCTCATACATGATTTGCAAATATTTTCTCCCAGTTGGTGAGTTATATTTTCCTTTTGTTGGTAATTTCTTTGCAATGCATTTTTCAGTCTGATCAGTCCCATTTGTTTATCTCTTGCTTTTGTCTCCTTTGCCCGAGTAGACATGGTATTCAAAAAGGCACTGCTAATACCGATTTCAAAGAGCTTATGCCTATATTTTCCTCTAGGACTTTTATGGTTTTAGTCTTGTATGAGCCTTTAATCCATTTTGAGTTAATGTTTGGATATGGTGTAATATGATGGCCTGCTTACATTCCTTTGCATTTTGTTGTCCAGCTTTTCACAATGCAATCATTGAAGAGACTTTATGTTCTCCATTGCACATTCTTACTCCTTTGTTGAAGATTAGCTGTCCATAGTTGTGTGGTTTTATTTCTGGGCCCTCAATTCTCTTCCATTGATCTGTGTATCTGTTTTTGTGCCAATACCATGCTCTTTTGATTACTAGCTTTGCAATACATTTTGAATTCAGTGAGTGTGATACCTCTGACTTTGTTCTTTTTTCTTAGGATGCATTGGCTATTTAGGGTCTTTCTTGTTCAATATAGATTTTTAGATTATTTTACTCTATTCCATGAGAGTGTCATTGGGTTTCTGATTGGAATTGCATGAATTTGTAGATTGCTTTAGGTAATATGGATATTTTTACTATGTTTACTCTTCCACTCAAAGTACATTGGAATATCTTTCCATTTCTTTATATCTTCTTTGATTTCTTTCAATAATGTCTTATAGTTTTCAGCGTATTGTCTTTTACTTCCTGGGTTAAATTTATTCCTAGATATTTTATTGCTTATTGTAGTCCTTGATTTCTTTCTGACAGTTCATGTTAGCATATTGAAATGTGACTGATTTTTCTATGTTGATGTTTTGCCCTGCAACTTTATTGTATTTGTTGATGTTTTTTACAGATTCTTGGTGGATTTGCTAGGATTTTTCTATATATGATTTATGTATCAGCAAATAATGACAGTTTTGCACCTTGCTCTCCATTTGGATGTTTTTATTATTTTTTTCTTACCTAATTGCCTCTGGCCAAAACTTCATTAATATGTTGAATGAGTGGCAAGATGCGCATCCTTTTCCTGTTATGTCCTCTGAGAAATAGCTTTGAGTTTTTCACCATAACTATGGTGATAGCTATGGGTATGTCATATATGGCCTTTAGTATGTTGAGTTATTTTCCTCTATACCCATTTTATTCATAGTTTTTTTTATTATAAATGTATTTTGAATCTTGTTCAAATGCTATCTCTGCATCTACTGAGATGATCATGTATTCTTGTTCTTCTTTGTTTATATGGTGTTCACATTAATGATTTTCAGATGTTGACCCATCCCTGTGTCCCTGGATAAATCTCACTTGATAGTGGTGTATGATCCTTCCAATGATTGTTGTATTTGATTTGCTAACATTTGTTCAGGAGATTTGCATCTATGGTTCATCAAGCAATATTGGCCTGTAATGTTCCCTTTTTTTTGTTTCCTTGTCTGATTTTGGAATCAAGAAAATTTTGGCCTCATAAATGAGCTAGGATACATCCTGTCTTCTTCAAGTTTTGGAAGAGTTGAGATAGGTATTAAATCTTGTTTCAATGTTTGGTAGAATTCACCAGTAGACTTCCCGTCTTGGACTTTGTTCCTTGGGAGATTTTTTTATTACTGTTTCAATCTCTTTATTTGTGATTGCTCTATTTCAGATTCTCAATTTCTTCTTTATTCATTTTAGGAGGCTACATGTTTCTAAGAATGTATTCCTTCTTCTAGATTACCCTGTTTTGTGGGCATATAGCTTTTCATAGTATTCTCATATAATCTGTATTTCTGTGGTGTCCATCGGAATTTCTCCACTTTTATTCTCTGATTTTATTTATTTAAGCCTTCTGTCTATTTTCTTACTGAGTCTGGATAAGGTTTTATTATTCTGTTTAACTTTTCAAAGAACCAGATCTTATTTCATTGATCCTTTCTATTGATTTTTTAGTCTCTATTTCATTTATTTCTGCTCTGATTTTTATTATTTCCTTCCTTCTACTGACTTTGGCTTCATTTGTTCTTTTCCTACTTCTTTAGGTATAGTTGAAAATTATTTATTTTATATTTTCATGTTTCTTGAAATAAGCTTGTAGTTATGTAAACTCCCTCTAGTATTGCTTTCACAGCATCCATAAAGGTTTGGTACAACTGTGTTTTACTGTCATTTCTCCTGAGGTATTTTTTGATTTCTTCATTGATTCAACGTTATTCAGTAGCATGTTGCTTGTTTCACATATTTGTGACTTCTTGGCCTTTTTGTAGTTGATTTCTAATTTCATAGCATTGTGGTCAGAAAAGCTTTTGATACAATTTAATTCTTCTTAAGTCACTGAGCTTCTTGTTTTCCAAATATGTCTATCTTTGAGAATATTCCATATGCACTTGAGAAAAATGTGTATTCTGCTGTTTTTGAATGGGATGTTCTATATAAATCTATTAAGTCCATATGACCTAGAGTTTATTTGAGGCCATTGTTTCCTTGTTGACTTTCTGTCTGATGACCTATCCAATGAAATAAGTGGAGTGTTAAGATCTCTACCATTCCTGTGTTGCTGTCAGTTCTCCCTTCAGACTGTTAACAGTTGCTTTATGTACTTGGTGCTCCTTCGTAAGTGCATTTATGTTAAAAGGGTTATGTATTCTGGTGGAATGTCCCTTTTATCATTTATATTATCCCAATCTTTGTCTTTTGTTATATTTTTGTCTTGAT